CGTTTGAGGATAAAAAATAGTAGTCCTGGTCTCTTTCTAAATGTCGCTTTCAAAGGCTAAATCGCTGCTAATATAAGCTTATTATTACATTACGTCGTGACAGCAAAATAAGTTAAATGTAATTGTAAGCAGCCAATACCGAAAGCACCCTACCATATTAGGCTTTGTAGAAATTGTATTTGGTCTATAATACCTTTCTCTTTAACGACCAATCCTTTGTTTCTTTATGCTTCTTTTCTTTTGCCAACGAACGAAGCACATGTGATCTGTCTTAAAACTGCATTGCTTCTAATGAATTAAGGGTACATTTGTACCGACCTTTTTAGAAGATCATTTTGCGTTAATTTAATGCTGAAAATGCCGTAAATAGAGGACGGTACTTTATAAATGCACACATACATACTACTCAGACGACAGATTTGTGAGTAGGCGACGCAGTCGACTCCGTTCAGCGGAGCTTCACCTTTTGACTTGTCAAGCTGTATAATTGAAGGTGAGTAATTGAATAAATAAATGCATCATGTGGCCTTCGCGACACAACGAACCAATTGCAGTTGACATTGAAGTTTAAACAAATCTTAAGATCAGAAAGACTGGCTACATCTTGTGCTTTTGCATTTTCCCCCAATTCAACCCCTCCTCGGGAACCTTTCTTTTGCCATTTGCACTGCATTCTCGAAAATTCTTCCTTTGCCTGTTGACTACGGGTATGTTATTTTGGTTTCGGCGTTTTTTCGCCCGCCCCCTTCCCCCACCCTTTTCCCTGCCTGCACACTTACACTAACGGGAATAATACTACCGCTTCTTATGATAACACTCTGCTCCAAATCACCCAACTCACTCATAACCGACATAAATGGCACCATTTCTGGCTCAATTTCTCCATATAACCTATTAAGTTGATGCCAGACGTTATTTCGGACAGTATTCAAGAGGACGCAAGTCCAGCCGATCCTGCGTCTGTCATTGTGGCTAGCAGTGGTGATGTGGTATCCGATAATTCCGTGTTAACTAGTGAAACTGAGTCAGCCGGGTTCTGCCCCCAACAACCCGAACGGCAAGTGGCGCTTGTCCATCCCACAAGCCAGGTGTTGGGCCGACTCATGCCTTCTGGCATGAGGCCCGGTCTCCTAGCAACTAACGAATACGATGCCATAGAAGGGCAATCGACAGACGTCGACGACGATAGAACGAGCAGCGATGACACTCCGGCCGACTATCAAGAGCCGCCAGAAGACAAGATTGAGTTTTCTGGCCAGACTCGGTCTTCTGTTGGGCCAACGCCGGAAAAGTCCTACCTTAACAACTACAGAGAAGCACACAGCAAGGCACTCACCTACTTGGCCCCACGCTACGTCACGGATACAGGCCTATCCGGTGGTACAGCTCGGGGCTCTGACCAGACCACTAAGGCAAGTCGGACAAGAGTCTAAGCCAACGAGCGAGCTGAAGTCGGACTTCGGCATGAGATAGAAAATTTCGCTCATTTCGATGCAATTAGCCGACGTTATTCGTATTTCTCCCAGCTCCATTTGCTGCTTGACTTAAACTATGAGTCAGAGAGGCGATAAAGAGAATCAGTTTTACTTTGATACCGATTTGGCTGATAAGAGATGGGACATAGAAAGCATGTCTTTGTTCCTTTTACAGTCAAAGGTAAAATCGTATTTTTGGTCTGAAGTATAATTGCAGAAGTG